CGCCCACCAGCCAGGTAAACCAGTGGGTCTCTATAGAGGAGCATTCCTGAAAATGCAGTAATCACAGCCCCTGTATTTTTCACCACATCCACTCTTCAGCAGCAGCAGGAGGTAAATATATCCACAAAACTGTTTTCAGTAGAAAAATGCCTCTTTTACAGTGGCACTGCTGGATGTCAGGCAAGCTGACATGAATGTGCAACTACCTGGAAATTATGACCATTCAAGGAAGATCCTAAAACTATTATGTAATACTTTATTTTGTTATAAAAGAAATAAGTCTTGTGAGCGAGTTTGTGAGACATGTATAAACAGTTGCATCTGCATAGAAGTACTAGAGCATACAGTATTGTTCAAAATAATAGCAGTACAATGTGACTAACCAGAATAATCCAGGTTTTTAGTATATTTTTTATTGCTACATGGCAAACAAGTTACCAGTAGGTGCAGTAGATTCTCAGAAAGCAAACAAGACCCAGCATTCATGATATGCATGCTCTTAAGGCTGTGCAATTGGGCAATTAGTTGAAAGGGGTGTGTTCAAAAAAATAGCAGTGTGGCATTCAATCAGTGAGGTCATCAATTTTGTGAAATAACAGGTGTGAATCAGGTGGCCCCTATTTAAGGATGAAGCCAGCACTTGTTGAACATGCATTTGAAAGCCTGAGGAAAATGGGTCGTTCAAGACATTGTTCAGAAGAACAGCGTACTTTGATTAAAAAGTTGATTGGAGAGGGGAAAACCTAAAAAAAGGTGCAAAAAATTATAGGCTGTTCAGCTAAAATGATCTCCAATGCCTTAAAATCAAACCAGCAAAACCGTCTGTGTGAAGCTAATCTATTTTCAAGAATCCCCCGCAAAGTCCCTCTGTTAAAAAAAAAGGCACGTGCAGAAGAGGTTACAATTTGCCAAAGAACAAATCAACTGGCCTAAAGAGAAATGGAGGAACATTTTGTGGACTGATGAGAGTAAAATTGTTCTTTTTGGGTCCAAGGGCTACAGACAGTTTGTGAGACGACCCCCAAACTCTGAATTCAAGCCACAGTACACAGTGAAGACAGTGAAGCATGGTGGTGCAAGCATCATGATATGGGCATGTTTCTCCTACTATGGTGTTGGGCCTATTTATCGCATACCAGGGATCATGGATCAGTTTGCATATGTCAAAATACTTGAAGAGGTCATGTTGCCTTATGCTGAAGAGGACATGCCCTTGAAATGGTTGTTTCAACAAGACAATGACCCCAAACACACTAGTAAACGAGCAAAGTCTTGGTTCCAAACCAACAAAATTAATGTTATGGAGTGGCCAGCCCAATCCCCGGACCTTAATCCAATCGAGAACTTGTGGGGTGATATCAAAAATGCTGTTTCTGAAGCAAAACCAAGAAATGTAAATGAATTGTGGAATGTTGTTAAAGAATCATGGAGTGTAATAACAGCTGAAAGGTGCCACAAGTTGGTTGACTCCATGCCACACAGATGTGAAGCAGTTATAAAAAACTGTGGTCATACAACTAAATATTAGTTTAGTGATTCACAGGATTGCTAAATCCTAGAAACAAAAACGTTTGTACAAAATAGTTTTGTGTTTGTACAGTCAACGGCAGACACTGCTATTTTTTTGAACACACCCCTTTCAACTAATTGCCCAATTGCACAGCCTTAAGAGCGTGCATATCATGAATGCTGGGTCTTGTTTGCTTTCTGAGAATCTACTGCACCTACTGGTAACTTGTTTGCCATGTAGCAATAAAAAATATACTAAAAACCTGGATTATTCTGGTTAGTCACATTGTACTGCTATTATTTTGAACAATACTGTATGCAGACAAAGAAAACACAAAACAACATCAGTAGTCCCGTAAGACCCACCTGATTTTGAAGAAGTTATTGAAAGAGGAATTGCCACTGTTGCCCAAGGCGTCTTCATTTTCCAGATTCTGAAGAAGCAGCAGATCATAAAGATGTTGCAGTTTCAAGTAAACACATACAGCTCTATATTTGTGTGCACAGTAGGTGTATGTGTACCTGATACTTCAGGTTACTGTGTTCAGGGGAGCCGAGGACAGCGGGTGAGGGATGAGCCTGAGGGTTGGAGAACGTGAGAGGACCAAATGTCATCTCCCCTCCTTCTCTGTCCTTGTCTCTGCCCTTCCACCCCCCTGTCTCACTGTCTGACACAGCTCCCTCCTCATCTCCCTCCAATACAAAGGCATCATCTATACTAAACTGCGTTGCCATGGTGATCACCTCTTACACCCTGAGGTCCTGTATCTTTATGTTCACTGTGGGGTAAGAGTTGAAAATCAGAGTTGGTACTCACAGTAGCTATAAAAACGAACATGGTAAATTTTGTATAAATCACTGTTTATAATTATTTTCGACACCAGGCCAGCTACAGTAACCCTACACTGCAAGGCAAATGAAAATAAGGGTTTCATTTATGTTGCTCCGGGTAGGACTGTTTAAATGGTTTTCTCTCTTGTCAACCATGCAGTTTACCGCTTTGAACAAGACTAAAACAGTTACAACGTCGTTTAATACCTACTTCACTGCTAAAGCTTAAGCCGACATAAGGGAACAAACAGGACCAAACACACCAAAAATAAACTCGCGAATAAGGGGTTCTTTTGTCGAGCTCTGCCATTGTCCGTGCTCTTTCCGCTAGGAGGAAAACTTACTGTCTTAAGTAGCTTAAATCTTCAGGGAAGCGAAACTCGACTTCACTTTGGTTAAAGACGGGTCACATGTTTGTAAACTCAGTGGCAATTTTACATTTAGTCTTCCTATAACTCTTTGTTTTGACCTAAAACGCGTTTGTGAAAGTTTGGAGTCTCTCTCTCTCTCCCTTCTTTTTTACCGTCTGGCTCTCGATTACGGACGACTGATTACGCCCAAGGATCTCTTTGGGAGTCAGGCCACTCAATCGAGGGTCGGTTTGTCGATCGTCCTACTTGCATTAGATTAAAAACTTGCAACACTTGTGTTGCAGCTTCCATCATTTGCAAGGAGAACAGAGGTGGAAAGTAACTAAGTACATTTACTCAAGATTTTTGAAGTATCTGTACTTTGCTTTAGTATTTTCATTTTCTGCTACTTCATACTTCAAATTCACTAAATTTTAAAGAAAAATGTACTTTTTACTCACTACATTTAGCACTTTTGTGTTGGCGGCAATTGTCAGGCAAGTACATTACACATTAACACATACATTACCCATTAACACAATACAGATGACCATACCCACCCCATACAAACATCACACATATCACAGTAAACCATAATAAACCATCATTCACAAAAACATGTTCATCAGTTTTATACTGGAGGGTATAAAAGTTCTCTGGGCAGTACAGTCTGCAAAAGCAGTACCCTGTACCTTCGTCCTGTTGGTAACAACTCATATTCACTATGTGATACTCTATGCTGTGATTGATGTTTACAAATTTCGCAATACTGTTTTGTGCCTGTTAACACAAACTCAGCTTGTATTTTCCTTCCACTATAGTCGTGTCTGTGTATAATCAAATTATGTCAAATACTTCAGGCAACAAAATTTGTTTCAAGCAAACTGAAGATGAGCCAAAGTAAAACTGCTAATACACCCCAGCTACAGATAACTATGTCCCACTTGTCAACAGTGAGTAGGTATATTTGATGAAAGAACCTGGACGTAAGCGCTGATATAATATGTAATAAAGTATCAAATATTTTGTGATGCAAAAGTAAACTGTATTAATGCAAAATATCAGAATAGCATACCACTTAGCATCTGTTGCCAACATGTGAAATCATGTGATTTCCAGAAAGTCAAAAGACTATGCAAACAAACATCTCTAAACCAACAACCACAGTTTAATCACTGCTGGTTGTAGTTTGGGGGAACAGTCGGAGGAGGCAGGTAGAGTGAACACTGGTCTGATGTGCTAGAAGATTACTGACAAAACCTGGTGCCGTTACTGAGCTTAAATACGTTTGGAAATTCAAAAGTGTAAGTTATTTAATGATTGTATTTAATGACTTTTTTGATTAATCACTGAACTAGCAACATTATTTGTAATACATAATGCATTATTGTTATAAAGTGCTATATCTAATCATCTGAAGTTTTGTGGGATTTACCTCTGAGAGTGGAGTATACTTATAAGCCATAGATAAATTATGACAGATTTAAAAAAATGTTAATGGTGGGGAATATCTCTATGTTTCACAGATTGCACCATATATTGATTTTTTTCTTCCAGCTTGGTGTCATATTCTTTTGAAATCCTCACTTGCACAATAACTCCATCAACATGTTAATCTCTTTTTACTTTGTTTGCTCTGTGCTCTGCTTTAGATGAGACCACAGGCCATACTTTGCCTCTTGCTGCAGCTCATTTTTGAGGTAAACCTATTTGAGAAACATTGAATTTGAGGCAAAATGTTTACCAGTATCTTCCAAAGCCATTAATTAATTGACAAAAGGGCTTAAACCTCAACATTCCTGATTCTACTTTTGTGTTGTAGACATTTTTTTTTCTGTTTAGCTTTCTTCATGCACACAACTCCGGGTGTTATCTGGTTCCACTCTGGAGCTGCCATGTATCTCATTCAAAACTGATGTCAGGGAAGACGCCATCACCTGGACATTCAATGGTCTTGTTATATTTCTGTATTACCGCTGTTCTCACTGTATTGAAAAGTACACACACACACACACACACACACACACACACACACACACACACACACACACACACACACATATATATATATA